AGGGTTTTCCCTTGTTAAGGATTGGGGGAGTTACATGTAAGACCTACCTCAGCTTCACTAGGTATATAATATACTCTAGCCCCAGCACCCCACCCTCTGCCAACACACATCTACTTCAAGTGTTTGGAATGGAGAAATTCCTTGAACATATGTCTTAGTGATGATTCAGCTTGCCTAGCAGGTGGGGAGGAGGGGGCAGGAAGAACTCTAGCTGAATTTTAGGCTGGGAATCTCAAGTGGCTTTTTTTTTTTTTTTTTCTGGAGGAATATGTTCTGTCCTCCTTTTCTACTGAGAACGGGAGGAGTTGCTTGCACAGCAGTGTGTGGGATTTAGGTTAGACTGCAGTTCATAACCTCTGTGGAATGATCTAGTAAGGATAGGCAAGGGATTCATTTATTTGGTTAATAGACATGTCAGGATCACTGTGTGCCAAACACTGTGCTAGTTAGACACCTGAGAGATGGAGAGGACTCGAACGAGCCTGTGTTCTTTAAGAGCTCACAATCTAGATGAGTGAACTTACATAAACTAGTGATTACAGTCATGTGGTAACAAAGGCAGGTGAAAGGTACTGTAGCAACACCAAGGAGAAAGCACAGCTCGGGATTTCTGAGTAGCAGAGCTTCCTTTCTACCCTGAATTAGCAGACTGCAGATCCTGGGGGCCGAGGAGAACATGTGATGCTTCTGTCCTCTGTGCTGTGGATTAGTTTGGCTTTAGAGAACAGATGCCTAATGAGCTCATAGCCTCTGATTGCCTGCATTCCCTCTGAAATCAGCTGCTCTTCCTTTGCCTTACACCTAGACAGGTGGGGGCCTACTGCAAACAACTGGGTCAGAGTGGTCTAGGAAGACTGGTCCTGTTTGCAAAGAGATGCCTTCTGCAGGATATGGACATTTATCCTTTTGGCTGCGGTTGGCCCCTCAGAATCCCAACTCTCTTGTGCATTTTAAAAATCTTTGTTTTTTTCTTTTTCTAATGGAACACATAACTGTCTTGAGTCTGCAGAGTTTTTTTTTTTTTTTTTTTTTTTTTTTTTTTTTTCTAGAATTTCTCAAAGCTTTAAAAATAGTCCTGAGTTGCTTACAAGGTTATCCTAATATAAAATGACTGTTGCGAGCATGAAGGGGTGAGAGTGTTGGGGACTATGTGTGAGGGTTGCTTACTGTAGTCCTTCTTGGGCAGCAAGAAGGGTTAGACACACTCTCTCACTTCTGTCAAGCATATACATAGCCAGTGTTTTTAAAGGAATGAGATTTGAGTGGCCTTTCCATGACTGCTGCCCAGATACAGTGTATGGGTAGCTCTCCACACCTTACTCATGGCCTCCCTATTCATGTTTTGGCTTATCAGATCAATGAGCTCAGCCAGGTGCCTCCCCCAGTGATGCTGCTTCCAGATGACTTTAAGGCCAGCTCCAAGATCAAGGTCAACAATCACCTTTTCCACAGGTAAGTGATGATCCTTGCCATTCTCATGTCAACCTTCCTAGAAAGGAGTAATAAATACTTTAAAAAGTTTCAGTGAGTTGAAAATTTAACCTCCTTCCCAATGCAGAAATTAGTTTTGTGCAAAGAAACCATGAGAATAATTTCTGGTATTCCCTATATCCTTATACGAATCAGTATTATCTCTCCTCTAGCCTGGCAATTCCGTAGAGTAAATATGTGCAGATACCATTACCTGCTCTTTTTCTCTTTCTTTTTCTCCTGTGACCTTGCAGATGCCATGAGACCATTAGCTTCTGATAGGGACTCCTTGAAAGAAAAACCTGAGTTCTCTTAAGCCCTCCCAGTATCAGAAGATGCCATTCAAAACAGTGGTGCCTGTTGCTGACTTTAGAATGTCTCTGACTTGCTTGAGATTTGGGAAATGCTACTGTTTGGATGGGTAGTAGATCCTGGCTCTACTACACCACTCACCAACCATGTTACTTAGGCAGGTCACTCAATCACCCTGAGACACATTCTCCCCTTCTGTAACATGGAAATAATATATGTTTATAGGACCTCACAAGGGCCAGATGTGGTGATGCATGCCTGTAATCCCAGCACTTTGGGAGGCCGAGGCAGGTGGATCACTTGAGGTCAGGAGTTTGAGACCAGCTCGACCAACATGGTGAAACCCCATCTCTACTAAAAATATAAAAATTAACCGGGTGTGGTGGCATGCGCCTGTAATCCCCACTACTCGGGAGGCTGAGGCAGGAGAATCTCTTGAACCCGGGAGGTGGAGGTTACAGTGAGCCGAATTTGCACCACTGCACTCCAGCATGGGCGCCAGAGCAAGACTCTGTCTCAAAAAAATATAAATAGGCCGGGCGCGGTGGCTCACGCCTGTAATCCCAGCACTTTGGGAGGCCGAGGCGGGTGGATCACGAGGTCCAGAGATCCAGACCATCCTGGTCAACACGGTGAAACCCCGTCTCTACTAAAAATACAAAACATTAGCTGGGCATGGTGGTGCGTGCCTGTAATCCCAGCTACTCAGGAGGCTGAGGCAGGAGAATTGACT